AGTGGTGAAATCGTTCCACGATTTCTTTGAGGGGTGTGTGTGCAACAGTGCACTATTACTCACGTCCACGCAGGTTGTTCTTCCCGGTTTTTATAACTGGAGCCGTCGGTTGGACAAAGGCTAATCTGCAAAGTAGCAGGACACCGCTTTCCGTTGGGGATCGGTGCCTGATCGAAGGTGCATGGCAAATGATGCATGCTGAGTTGAAAGGTGGTGCACAGAGGGGAAGTTCCATTAGGCGGAATAGGAACGTAGTCCACCCCATCGAGATACACAAACACAGCATACCAATCCGGACAATCATTAAGGGACTCTGGAACGAACAAGGCTACAGCTAAAAGGTCTACACTCAATCACAGTAGTATCACTGTACAAACTGAACAGCACAATAAAAATTGAACGTGNGTGTCATTCATCATCATTCAGTGTACCCCTGCAACACTCATAAACATACTCGCGTACATTACTGTGTCGTTGCGCGTTGACTGTATATGATAGAACATGTGCGGGACTCAATTTCGAATCAGGTCAACACACATTTGACGGACTGATTTGCGTTCCTGAGATATTCCGTCAACTAAACAAGCTGATAACCTTTGAAATCAAGTTAGCCGGGGCCACGTTCAGATTTGGTAGTCTGATCTAATAGAGACCAAATGAAAGGAGGTTTTGTTCAAGTTGTATTAATTTTAGATTGTAGTTTTATTTTTCAAATTGCAAAAACTTCAGTAACCTCGATGGGGTTAGGACATAAACATGAGGCCCTCTTCGTGTTTGTTAAAGCTGAGCTACGAGGCCACATCGATAGCACTGATCTTCTCACATAAGCAATGGCATCCATGCATAGGTTCGAATATCACCGAGGCTACTGAACTTTTCACAATTCAGAATATCAAAAGGGTTCCTTAGACTGACCAATATCATAATAATGATATTCTAGGTGGCCAAAACATATAATATTCTGCTGATGAATCTAGCATTTATTTGTTTTGCTGCTGGTGTGTTGACCATTCCCTATTAAGGACTAAGGAGTATAAGATTTTTTTAAGTTACGAAATAAAACCGGATGATCCATCAGAAAACAGAACGATAAGATGTTTCTCGTTGCTGGTCCCAACCGAACAAGTGATCGATAGTTCTCTGGCAAACTAATTAAACTTTTCAAGGTAATGCCGGCTTGGACAATAATTATCGTTTAAAGCTTAAATTGTGCACAGCACAACTTCTGGTTCAGGCTGTCCGATTTCCCTATCTGAAAACCAACTATCCGCAGCACAAGCGCAATAATGGTGCTACGCAATTACCAACAATTTCACCCATTTCCTTCGCTTCATACAATCATGCTGAAAGTCGTCGCTGACATGATCAAGACTAAGTGATTCGACAGGTCATCCCCGGTGTATCTCACATAGATGTGATAAGAGTAGCTTGAAAATGAAACAATCAAAGATAGAGGTCAACTTAGGTTTCTTGTGTTACAAGATTGCTGGTGACTTCTTAGGTGGATCAGCGAAGAAAAAAACAGTCAGCTGACAAATCACCCAGGATTAATCCAGATTCGCGTACGTTCAGCTTCTGTTGGCACAAACAAAATTTCCTGTGCTTGCTTCGTTTTTGGCAACCCATTTGATCAACCAACACAAACGAGAGAATGACTAGTCGGTGGATCGGACATGATACCAAAAAAATATCAGATTTGGAACAAAAACGATATGCACAAGCACCGCTGTTTACGACAATCCGTCAGATCATTCGACCAACGCCAGCCGATCAAGCTGGTCTCAGCATAGAAACCTAACGCGAACTAATGCAGCCAAGTCCGCTGGTCTGAATCTGCATGGTCCGATCACCTTTTACATCCCCACCGCTAACTGATTCGATCCGGCTGACTAAACCGTTTAGATTACTATCACATAAGTCTACCGATCGCATAACCAAATCACACAACTGCCTCCTGACTTTCCAGAACAGGAAATACGTGCTTCTACATTCAATAGGTAGTATAAGATCGTTAACAATAGTTCCGTTCGTTTACACCGAGTAATCACGGGCAAATAACTAAGGTATACCTCATCTACAGCAATCCACTAAGGTCAAGCATCATATACCCGCAAAGGAACATGACGCCTAATACTCTTAATCTCACTACGTCTCGTCCAGTTTCCCCACAATACTGTCCCAACACTTTGTGGATAGCCAGGTTTAAACAGCATCATTATTTTATCATGCACTCGTTATAGTCATATTATAATACCTTCTCCAGATTACTGAGAAAGTTTAAATCAAACATTGAAGGGCATACACATCGATATAAAACAGATGATTGTACAAGAAGCTTGGTGAATTTCGATCAAAAAAGGCTTAATTGAAATATTACGCGTGGCGTTTGACGGTATTCGCTCACACACAATGCCAGATGGCTTAATCATCAATTAGACATTTTAAATAGTGAAGTAGGTGAATAAATGTTCGATGAAGCCAATGCACCGTACAAAGTAGGCGTGGCCAGATTACTGCAGTGTGCTGCTGAAAAAAACATTCTGTTCCAAACTATGATTCTTGGACAGAGGAAACAACCAGTTCTAACTTGACTTTCAACATTCCATAATTCTTGTTAAACAAGGTTTCACTTCACTACACCCGCTGCCAATGAGATTCACACTGATATGAATAAGAGTTTCCGATGAACGGAGTGTGCAACCATTTATAACGTTACCAAAATCGACTACGATCTAAAACATCAACCGGTGCGCTACTGCCACTGCCCACTCACCACATAACCCTCCGTCTATGAAACATGCATAGACCTAGATCAAGGAACCCTAAACTACAGTGTACACTAAAACAAAATGAATAAGTCAACCGTGCGACTTTGACTCTGGTGGTGCACATTACACACTCCCTGCTGTTTCTCTTGACGTTCGCACTCCCGTTGCCAAGGGACAGGTTACCGATGCCAGTCATGCGTATCATCGTGCCGGATCATTTGGGAGGGGGAAGACGCTTATTGTGACTAATGAGGTATGCGCTTCCTA